CTTGCATGCACCACGGTGCCATATGGGTACCAGTTTGTGTCCTGGCTGCTTCACTTCCCATGCAGCTGCAAGCTAGTGGCCTGGGAAAGCAGCAGAGGTTGGCGTAAAGCCTTGGGACCCTGCACTTGAGTGGGATAACCAGAAGAAGCTCCTTGGCTCCTGGCTTTGGATTAGCTCAGCTCTGACCGTTGCGGCCACTTGGTGAGTGAAACAGTGGATGGATATCCTTCTGTATGGCTCTCCTGTCTGTCAAGTTGATACCCCATGCTAACTAAATGAACAACTCTGAAGAAAAGGCAAGAACAGAACTGTCTCACCCAACAGCACACCACGAAATTGATGAAGTTGTAGAACGTGCAAATAGTTGGAAAAACTTGAGTGGATCCAACCCACAGGTGATGCAATAACTGTCGAGCAGGTGTCTTTGATAGAGCTGTTCTTACTGCATCATTAAGATAACATTGAGTTATGTGAGAGCGCAGTGAGAGAAGACAGAAGACCCTGAGACCTGTGTGTTCCAGCAGCTGCTGCTATCAGGATTGTCATGCAGACATTTCCCCTCTCCTGGTCTTTTCCTGTCAATAATGGGACAGTCAGTTACAGCAACTCTTCACCACCTGAATGGGCAGGGTGGTGACTCAGTCTGCAGAGGCTGTTCCAGGGCCAGGAGTGTTTATCCCCTCTTCTCTAACCCGTATTGAGTGGTGACCAACCAGGCTCCTTCACACTGCCAAGCTGGTACGACCTCACTCCACCACGTGTCCCTCCACGTTGAAAATTCGTTCTCTCCTCCCACAAAGGTCCAAATGCTACAAAGTCAGCTTCATGTATTCTAGGCAGTTTACGCTTATGATTTTTTTTTTATTAGAATGGATCTTTTCTTGCCCTCATTTCATCAGTAATGGTTATCGCCCAAGGAGATCCAACATTTCCCTGCCCTTTGATAATCACGAATAAATGCATTCAATAGTTCAGGACAGCAGTCAGCAACCCCAGACCTATCCCAGGTGTCAGCTAGGTTAGTCCAATTCTAGGTTAACCGCAAGGAAAGCTGTCTGTGTCCATAGTCTGCGAACCCTCTTGCAGTGTCTGCCAGGCTCACCTCCCTGGCAGCTCCAGGAGGAAAGTGTCTGTATGGATGCCCACGTTCCTCCCTGGATGCTGGATGCTGGATGCTGGAGACTGAAGCTCTGTCCCAGGCACAGCAGAGAGAAGGAGGGAAGCACCGGTCCCTGAGCCTGACTCAGGACCCCAAATGCCACAAGCAGGCTGCTTCTAGCCCGAGGCTGCACAGTCCGAGGGAACACAGCAGAGGACCCACTTACAACTCCTGGCACCTGCTCATTAGGCAGCTCCCTGACCTCTAAGCACCTGCTGGCCCTGAGGGACTCTGGCCATGGCACAGCGCCGTGTTCTTGCAGGTGTTTCCCAAGAGACCCTGATGGACTCAAGTGAATCCTCCCTCTCTTTCTCCTGCTCTGCGGCAATCGCAAATAGCTGCCATTTAGTTCCTCACTTTACAATGTTTTGCTTAGTGAGACAAGCCAGTTCCCCAGATAATTATGTGTTTCTCCTAGTATGTCATAGTTAATATTGAACACAAAAATAATGTAGAAATGGAAAGAGCATCTTGAGATTTGTTTGTTGTTTCTGCTCCTGGGAAACTGATTTCTCTAAGCTTTTGCTTGTTGAATTTGATGGTTAGTGCTTCCCTAAGCCTGTGACTCGTGTGTTGTAGTCAATATTTTAGCTATAACAGAATGATTTATTATATATTTCAAAATAATTAGTGGTATACACTTCTCAATACTTACATATGATAATATTTAGGGAGACAAAAATGCAATTAATGTGATTAATTGTTACACATTATTCACACATTTTAATTATATTATATACCCTAAAAAAGTCAAAATATTTTCTGTTATTCAAAATAAATTAATGTAAAAAAGCAAAAAAAATTAACACAAAAATAAATTCTTATACGATCCAATTATTTTGTTTGAAAATATTTAAAAAGTTTTCATTGCAACTTATTAAAGACTAACCAATACTGCATGAACCCTTAACAAACCCTCACTTTAAATATCTAGCCACATGGTCCTCCATATACCTACATTATGGACTTATTTGTGCTTCTGCCTAATTATGTAGCTAGTACTGAATTATGGTAGAGAGAATGTAAATGGATCCGTGATCTAATAAAATGTCTTCTCTAAGCTTTCACCAACCAGTTTGAGAAAGTCTAACCATTCCTCATGGATTTCCTCAACCAAGTATCACACTTCTTGATGTGCTTTTTTTTTTTTCTTTACTAAACATAGGGCATATGTCAACTTGACCCTCAGGAAGTTAAATGTATTTGGGTGTCTTAAATATAACTCATAGCATGGGACGGGTCAAATGGAAATCAAAGAAAATAGGTGCACACCCAACAGTGCTAAAATGCCAGTCTTGTAGAAAACTTCTAGAACTTAAACTTGTGGTAGCTTTCCTATTTCCTCCTGTGGTTGATTTTGAATGCATCCCTACTTCCAGATCAATGATGCATTCCCAATGAAATTGTTAAATAGATCTTGACAGCAGGATGCTGGGCTCTCTGCCGTTGGCTATGCCTGCAATGCAAGGATAGGATGAAATACCCGAATGATGGACTTATGACTGTTGGGGAAATCAGGGGGCAGATGGATTTGTGAGGGATGAGGCATAATCCCAGAGCCGATGCAAGTGCATCATAAAATAACAACAAAAAGAGAAATAAAAACAAAATGATCTTTATGGAAAGAGCATCTTGAGACTTGATGGTTGTTTCTACTCCTGGGAAATTCTGAATTCTCTAGTTTTTTTTTTTTTTTTACTTGTTGGATAGGATGGTTCATGTTGCACTAAGCTGTGACCATAAAGGAAGTGAGAATACGTTTTTCAAAAAGTAAGGCATGAGGGGAATTGAGCTAGGGAAAGAAGGGAGGGAAAGCAGAATGGTGTCTTGGCAATCGTATTTGCCCAATTTAATCAAAAGCTACAAAGAGTTAAAAGGAAATACGTGTGTGTGTGTGTGTGTGTGTGTGTTCTTTGGGGAAAAAATGTATTTCCTGGATTAAAATAAACAGAACAACTCACATATTCTCTGAAAGCAAACACTGCCGTCTTCTTCGTTGAGTTCTGTTGAAACGATGGCTGAATTCCTCCAGTGGAAATTCATATTTATGAAGCTGGGACAAATAGAATAAAGCTTACTAACTGTTCTTTGCGCTCAGACAAGGTCAAGCTCTGTTGTGTTCTGCTCAGGAGAGCACTCCCATTTTTAACTTTGGGTTTCTTGTGCAGGTGGAGGGCACGATCACCTGCTATTAAAGTGGGTCCCGGGGAAACAGCTTGAAGTGACGACTTCTAACCAGGATGGCTCAAAGTCTCACACAAGCTCCATGAGCAACTCAAGCATAAAAAGCAAGGAATTACAGAACTTTAAGTGACATAACGACTCATAAATGACTCTTCACCATCATAAATTCTTTTGTTCCACGAAATGTGAATGTCCCATAAAATAGTTGCTATATTTGTATGCCTTCATCATTTTTAAAGAAGATACATTTTTATATACTTTGGAATCTTTTTTATGGCATCAATTTAATACATTTGGTTTGTTCATAGGAGTTGTATTTTGCAATACCTACAAATTCTGAACTACACAATCCATTTTTGAAGGACTTAGATTCTAAATGACACGGGATCACCAGTGAGAAATAAAAAAGGACATGATCAGGAATGTGTGTTCTGTGGAGGAACTAAAGAAATATGAGCATAAGTGCTTTTGAGAAAAAAAAAGAATGGTTTTAGCCTAAGATATTGTAAGAATTTGTAGCAGTGCAAGAGGAATAGAAAAGTTGGGTGTATTAGTTAAGCTTGTGGAAAGGTGTGGAATATTTGTAGAGAATGAATTTGGTGGAAATACATTTTTCATGTATTAAGGTGATTTTTAAGCGTGGGTTATATTATAACATATACAGCTCAGAGATGACCACATACATGGTAGATGCTAGATTTGTGATCTCCAAGGAATACCTCTCACACATTTTGACCTTTTTCATACTTCAAAATTAAACTTCTTTGGGAGATAGTTGTACATGAATATGCATTTATAACAAATACATGCATTCTTGAGTCAGTTTTCCAAATGATAATACCTCTCAAAATGACAGTAGAAAAATGACATCCCGCGTATCATTACTGAGAACAACCAAAATACACAGCAGGTGCACCCACACAAACTCTCCTGTGCATTTATTTCACAGCTGCAACTCTGCTCTTGGTCTGATACCAGAACTCTGTCCATGATGATAGCATTTCAAAATCGTACAGAAGATAAACAGGTCCACCCAAAGGAAATGGAGCAGAGTATGTTTGCCGTGACTATGATGGACACTGGCCCAGGGAACTGAAATGGAACTGCAACCTAAACACAGGTGTAAGACCCAGTGAGAAAGCACACATTCCAATATTTAATCCCATCATCAGCGAAGAATTTATATTAGGGAAAGGCATGGGAGTGACGCATGTAAGGCAGAAAATTGAGGTCTCAAAGGTTCCTGTCCTATAGATTATATAAATGACCTAGTTATCACATGGGGTCCAACTTTGGACTCCACGCGACTACTTCTCAGTAAAAATAAATACCACTCAATTTCATATATGACACTAGGGAGAGTTTATTTCAAAGGCCCGTTATTCTAGTTCACGTCCAATCACTGAGGATGTTTTGAGGGAAAGAATGAAAATATCCAAGAGAAACTTGTCATATACTGAAGACAGTTGAAACAAAAAAATGAGACGCATACATTTTACAGGGAGGTTGAAATCAGAGCAGTGCGAACTCCAGTGAACAAGAAGAAAGAATCTGTTCTATTTTCACAAGCTGAACTTAGAGAATAAGATTTCTTGAAACGGAGGCATTTGATCTCTGGAGTGTTTAGCACTTCTTTAGCCACAAGACATTGGGCTGTTCATGATTTCCAGCCCAAAGATCTTTTCAGAGCCTTCTTGATGTCTGCATTCCTCAGGCTGTAGATGAAGGGGTTCAGCATGGGAGTTACCACTGTGTACATCACCGAGGCTGCTGCGGTTGAGGCTGAACTTGGGGCAGCACTGGCACTGAGGTACACACCTAGAAGTGTGCCATAAAATAGGGAGACGGCAGAGAGGTGAGAGGCACAGGTGGAAAAGGCTTTATACTTGCCCTGAGCTGAGGAGATGGCACGGATGGAGGAGGCAATCTGAGAGTAAGAGTACAGGATCCCAGCCAGAGGACCTCCCACCAGCAGCACTGCTGCAAGATACATCATGAGGTCATTAAGAAAAGTGTTAGAGCAGGCACTGTGGACCACCTGATTCAACTCACAGAAGAAGTGATGGATTTCCCCGTGTGTGCAGAAGCTCAGCCTCAGCACCAGTAAGCTGTGTAACATGGCATTCAGTACACCGATGGTCCAGCACATCAGAACCAGCTGTACACAGAGACTGGGGGTCATGATGACCGTGTAGTGCAGGGGATGGCAGATGGCCACATAACGGTCATAGGCCATCACAACCAGGAGAAAATTATCCAGACTTCCAAACAGCAGGAAGAAGAACGTCTGTGTGATGCAGCCTGCATAGCTGATGGCTCTGCTCTGCGTCTGAATGTTCACCAGCATCTTGGGGATGTTGGTGGTGGTGTAGAAGACGTCCACCATGGACAGGTTGGCGAGGAAGAAGTACATGGGTGTGTGGAGGTGTGGGTTTGAGAGGATGGCCAGGGCGATGAGCAGGTTCCCACTGACAGTGACCAGGTACATGGAGAGGAACAGGCCAAAGATGAGAGGCTGCAGGGCTGGGTCCTCTGAGATTCCCAGGAGAAGGAATTCTGAAAGCTGGGTTTGGTTGCTCAGTGTCTTGTGGTACATGTCACTACCAGGAACCAATAGTTTAACCTGAATCATACAAAGAAGATTTAACCAACAGAGCAGAAAGCCAGAATTCATGTTTTTCCATTTAGAATCTGGCTCCCACATTTGGAGATGGCTCAGTTCCCATGAGTCATTCCCAGAGGGATCAATGAGCAAGAATTTCTTCCCACCCTCAGACCTTTCCTAAAGGATCAAGCATGTCTCACATTTAAAGAACCACATGTCAAGTGGCTCTTCGACATCTTGATAAATATCTATCCTTTAGTAATTACAAATGCACCACTGGTTTTTCCAATTAAGTGCATTTTTAAAAAGGCAGGAGAAGCAGTGTATGATATATGGTTTCATGTTCCTTACGAAATCCTGGGATTCAATTTTGATTATGAATGATAAGATGACTTTTAGCCACATGGTGCAACGGAAAGTGGTTTGGCTTTGAGTAAATGATTCAGGAATGTTGGCGATAAGGAATCCCAATGGGTGTCACAGGATAAGAAAAACTCCACAGGGAGCAGGTTGGACATATATATAAATCTGACTTACTGACACTCAGTTTGCAGAACCAAACTTTTGCTGATTTAATGACATTGGGTTTAAAACCGAGAATCGGTTTTGACATCAGAAAACTACAGGTTTTCATGAGTCTCCTAAAATTCACCAAGAGGGTCCGTGACAATGTCTTGGAAAACACAGCCAACAAATTCCCTTATTGTTGTGAATCCATGTTGTAAAATAGTTTTCCAATTTTGATGACCTTTCTTGAGTTTGGATTCAGATATTTTTTCACCAGACATTATGGAACACAATAGCATACCTTCCAAATGTATTATTATTTGCCCCAAAGTACATTCAAGTACACCTCAACTGATTCCATGGCAGAAAAGGAGCCATCACAACGGCCAATCTTTGTAGATCAGAAGGCAGTAAGGACAGGAATGAAAGTCTCTCACCTGACAGCACACCAGGAAAGTGCTGAAATTGCAGCAGAAAATGAGAGGGACAGGAAAGCCTTGAGTGTATCCAACTCACAGGTGATGTAATGACTCCGAAGCAGGTGTCTTTGATAGAGCTGTTCTTACTGCATCATTAAGATAACACTGAGTTATGTGAGAGCGCAGTGAGAGAAGACAGAAGACCCTGAGACCTGTGTGTTCCAGCAGCTGGATTTCCGTGAAGACACGTCCCCTCTCCTGGCCCTTTCCTGTCAATAATGGGACAGTCAGTTACACCTCCTCTAAACAACCCAAATGGGCAGGGTGGTGACTCAGTCTGTAGGAGCTATTCCAGGGCCAGGACTTGTGATCACCCCTTCTCTAATTGGTTTCAAGTGTTGGACGACCAGGTGACTTCAACCTGCAAAATTGATAAAACCTCACTCCATCCACCACATGTCCCTCCACATAGAAAACTCCTCCTCTGCTTCCCCAGATCTCCAGAGGCTGCAAAGTTGGCTTATGTGCACACTCAGCAACTTATGCCTCTGATTGTCTATTAGAATGGATCTTTTCTTGCCCGCATTTCTAAATCAGCAATCACCATTGCCCTAGGAGAACCAGCAATTTCCTGCCCTTTGATTATCATGAATAAATGCATTCATTAGGCAAGTATTGCAGTCAACAATCCCATAGCTGTCTAGGGTACTAGCTATGTTGGACCAGTTCTTGCTTAAACCCAGGGAAAGCTCTCTGTGTCCACAGCCTGGGACCCCTCCTGCTATGTCTGCCAGGCTCACCTGCCTGGGAACTTTATGACTAAAGTGTCTGTATGGATGCCCACATTCCTCCCTGGAAGCTGGATGCTGCAGACTGAAGCTCTGTCCCAGGCACAGCAGAGAGAAGGAGGGAAGCTCTCGTCCCTGAGCCAGACTCAGGACCCCAAATGCCACAAGCAGGCTGCTTCTAGCCCGAGGCTGCACAGTCTGAGGGACCACAGCAGAGGAGCTCCTTACAGCTCCCGGCACCTGCTCATTAGGCAGCTCCCTGGCCTCTAAGCACCTGCTGGCCCTGAGGGACTCTGGCCAGGACACAGCGCCGTGTTCTTGCAGGTGTTTCCCAAGAGACCATGATGGACTCAAGTGAATCCTCCCTCTCTTTCTCCTGCTCTGCGGCAATCGCAAATAGCTGCCATTTAATTCCTCACTTTGCAATGTTTTGCTTAGTGAGACAAGCCAGTTCCCCAGATAATTATGTGTTTCTCCTAGTATGTCATAGTTAATATTGCACACAAAAATAATGTAGGAATGGAAAGAGCTTCTTGAGATTTGATTGCTGTTTCTACTCCTGGGAAACTGATTTCTTTAATTTGTTAGTTGTTGAATATAATGGTTAGTGGTGCACTAAGCCTGCGAGTAATATATTGTGCTTCCTATTTTAAAATTCAGCTTACAATAATTTATTCCATATTTCAAACTAATTAGAGTTATACGCTTCTCAATACTTATATTGGATACTATATTTAAAAAGATTTATTAATTCTTATTGGAAGGTCAGATATACGGAGAAGAGGAGAGGCAGAGAGGAAGATCTTCTGTCCGATGATTTATTTCCCAAGTGACTGCAATGGTCAGAGCTGAGCCAATCCAACACCAGGAGCCAGGAGCTTCTTCCGGGTCTCCCACGCGAGTGCAGGGTCCCAAGGCTTTGGGCCGTCCTTGACTGCTTTCCCAGGCCACAGGCAGGGAGCTGGATTCAAGCATGGCTGCTGGGATTAGAACCGGTACCCATATGGCATCACATATGGTGCCTGCAAAGTCAGAACTTCTTTTTCTTCCCGTGATTGATTTTATCTTATGGATTTTCATTTAAGAGGCAGCACAGTATGTATATATGTCTATCATACTGAGATCTGAAGCTTTGATGCAACATGAATTCTTACTTCCAAATGAAGGATTGATTCCCGATCAAGCTGTTCCATGTATCTTGAAAATAGGATGCTGCACCGTGTGCCATTGTCCAACCTTACGCTATTAGGATATGATTGAATAGCAGAATGATGGACTTATGAATTTTTGAGGGACTATGCTATTGTAATAGTTTAGGGGAAATCGGGGTGGGGGATTTGTGAGATGAGATGGGAAACCTCAAAGCCTATGGAACTGTATCATAACATAATAATAAAAAATAATGAATACAAAAATAATAAATAGAAAGAATTGCTTAGGGTTTGATTCCTGCTTCTGCTTCCAGGCAACGTTGAATTCTCTAATTTTTTTATTTGTCGAATAAGATGGTTGTTGGTATACTAAGTTGTGACTATCCAGGAGAGTGAGAAAGTAATTTTTCAAAAATTGAGGAATAAAGGACGGAAAGAATGAGGGGAATTGAGTTAGGGAAGGAAGGGAGGGTAGGTACGATGATATCTTTGCGGTTGCATCTGCCAAGTTTAATCAAAACTCAACAGGAGCTAAAAGCCAAAAGTATTACACACACACACACACACACACACACACACACACACACACACAGAGGTACTTCAGAAAGTTCAAGTAAAAGTGAAATTCGATGACAGGTTTTTGGGGGCTTGCATTGTGACATTGCCCCCCCCCCCCACATTGCAGCACCGGTTCAAGTCCCAGCCGCTTTGCCTCCGTGCAACTGCTGGCCAGTGCACATGGGAGACAGGCAGAATTCTATCCAAGAGCCTGAGCACTCCACACCCCATGTGGGAGACACAGGTGGAATTCGTGGTTCTGGATTCAGCACTCAGCCACTGAGACCTTCTGGGGAGTGAAGCAGCATATAAGAGAGAACTCCCTCTCTGTCTGCATCTCCCTTCCTTTTGCTTAATCTGCCCCTCCAATCCTCAACTAAATCGGTTCAGTCAGCTCAGTCTTGGAGCATCCAAGGACCTGGGAGCAGCACTGACACTGGCTGGAGTATATCATGGCAATGTCACAGGTCTAATACAGCATGGAGGAAGAGACCACATCTCAGCAGACTAATTCTGAAAGACAGTCACCACAGCCACACAGAGAGACCCTCAAACGAAATTCAGAAATATCACCAAAGACTCGCAGCTGACGTCAGAACCGGTGGAGGCTGAGCTTCAGCATGAGTCTCCATTGGACCATTCCACTCTGTCACAAGATACCATCTCAAACTTTGTTTTTATTGTTTGTTGGTTCTTTTTGTACCAAAGGATAACATATACAGTAACCAAAATGATCAGAACAGAACAGGGTCATCACAGTCTGGTGATTCTTACTGTGGCTTCGTTTCCATGACGGAAGATAATGTTTAGAAACGATGTGTTGCTCAAGTTCACTTCTACTCTTCTATTACAAAGACGGGACATGTTGGAAGTCTTTGGGGGAATCAGAAACATTAGAGAAACACACACATTGGAGCAAGAACATGTGAGATCCTGACACACTGGATGAGAGCTCAAGTTCTATGAGAGTTGATGTTGTCACGCCTGAATGGGCAGGTGCATGACTGATGTCCAAGTGGCCCACTGAGCTTCTCCATTCCTCTCCCAAAGTGGCTGTGCCGGACTCAGAAAGGGAGGGTGGTGTCCTCCATTGCAGGCAAGGCGGCAAGGTCAGAGATCTCTCTGGAACTTTCCAAGCAGGTGCAGAAAGACTATATTCAAAGAAAAAGCACCTTCACCAGCCATTCACCCAACCCAAGACTCCTACCCCTGGACCACAAGACCCTTTCAGCACAAGCTACATGGACACAGGAGAGCAGAATACTATCATGCACCAGCAATCTGGGATGGAAAATTGTATTTCCTTTATTGGACACGTTTTCTGATTCCTACCCATCTAAAGGAAATCTCTTTGACACTATCAGTCAAATCAGGGATGAGAATTTTTGGAGTAAAAGTCTCCTTTTTGGGAATGACTTATATCTGAGAATGCAGATTGCACACTTGGTTTCCAGGGCAAGATTATACACTCGAAGGAAACCCAACTTAGTACTCACACACTACATTCTGGTACCAAAGTCTGTGCTGTTTGGGAGTAGGATAACATAGGAATGATGGACAAAGATCGG